TATATGTACATCATAGTCTGTGTGATGTATGTGTGAGTACATATATGCACATCATAGACTATGTGTGATATATGTGTGAGTATGTATATGTACATCATACATAGTCTGTGTGTGAAGATCAGAGGACAACTTGGAGGAAGTTTTCATTTTCCATGGGAGTCACAGTGACCAAACTCAGGCTTTGGGCCTTGTCGATAATCACCTTTATTCACTGAGCCATTTTATCAACCCTGTACCTTGCTCTTACTTAGGCTGAGAATCTCTGATCAACAGCCAAGGAGTACCCAGGTTTGAGGGGAAGTTGATAAAACAAAACAAAGCATTTCATTCTTCTTTAGATTTATTTTATTTATTATAAGCTCTATCGACCTTATGCCAGAAAGGGATCAGATCCCATTATAGATGGTTGTGAGCCATCTCTCCAGCCCCAAAACATCTCATTCTTATTTTTGTGTCTATGTGCGTGTCTGTGTGAGTATATGCCATGTGTGTACAGGTACCCAAAGGGGCCAGAAAAGGTTCCTGGAGCTAAAGTACCAAGTGCTCAGAAGGTAGGGACAGAAAGAACAGAAGTGCAGGGCCATCTGTGGCTACATAGGGATCTGAGGCCAGCCTGGGCTACATGAGACTCTGCTCTAAAAAAGAAAAAGGAAACAAAGGAACAAAAGAGAGGGCTCGAAATACGGGTCGGTGCTTAAGACTTCTTGCTGCTCTTCCAAAGGAGCTGAGTTTGGTTCCCAGCGCACACTTCAGGAGGCTCACACCATCTGCAAGTCCGGATCCAGGGCCCCCACACCCTATTCTTGCCTCTGCAAGCATCTGCGCGCACACATACATTTAAAGTGATAATAAATGAAATTAAAAAAAAAATCACTCCTGTTGCCAGGTCTGCATACAGCTAGCTGCATTCTGAGCAGTTTCTGTCCAATGAATGAGCGTTCAGTCTCGTAGTGACTCCAGAACTACCTGACTCCAAAAATCGGATTTTACTTGCCTCCCGCGTCGCATTCCTCTCAAAGTCTGAAGCTGGTGGGTATTCTATGGCTGCTGGTGGATGCTCTGCACCTATTTGCCCCACCGCAAACGAATACTGGGACTTTCGCTCCCGGCCAGCAGGGGGCGTGCACGCATCGTGTTCTAGAGACCCCCACCACCACCTCCCTAGGATGGGCCAAACTAGGATGCCTCCCCTCTTGATGGGGGGAACCCATTATTTTCAGAAAGTTTCGGTCTAGACCGTAGATCCTGCTCAACGTACTTGAAACCCGTCATCTCACTGAATATCTGAGATACTGATATTACGGTTTTTACAGTGATGATACTCCATACTGTTTGTGTCCGTTTTATGAGTTAGCTGGGTCCTACCCTTGACGCCTGCTTCTCCTTTCTCTACGCAGGAGACCTGGGCCAGGGTCCTGGCCGAGAACCACGATTTTCTGAGGACCGACTCCTGCCTAGTCACGCCCTAGCGGTTCCTGCACATTCTGGGTTTGTCACCATCCCCCAAACTTCCCAGGTGTTACCTTGAGCAGGCCTGCCAGGTCCTTGTTGCCAACCGCCTGGGGCTCCAGAGGGCACATCCTGCTGGAGTTAGTTCCGGCCACCTGGTACACATCAGGGGTGTGTCCTGGGTGCTGGGGAGATGAAGGTCGGCCAGAGGAGAAGTGAAGGGCTTCGAGTTCTCACGTTGAGACCTTGCCCCGTTTGACTAGGAGAGAAAGAAACCTGCCATAAGGAACTGGCTTTGCCTAAGGCTGCTGTACTGCAGAGGCAGAGTCAAGGTTGGTACCAAGCACTCTTGGAAGTCTTTTTTAGACCTCAGTAGATCGTGTTCTGGAGGGGTGAGGAATTCCTTCCTCCTGCCCTGCCCGACTTTAAGTCAAATTCCACCACCACCCTGAGTTCGAGGCATTGGCTCTCTGATGTTTCTTTTTTCTATTTTTGGTTTTGTTTTTCAAGACATAGTTTCTCTGTGTACCCCTGGCTGTCTCGGAACTCGCTCTGTAGACCAGATTGGCCTTGAACTCACAGAGATCCGCCTGCCTCTACCTCCCGAGTGCTGGGATTAAAAGCGTGTGCCACCACCAGCCTGCCTGTAATTATCTCTTTGCTTTCCTATTCTCGTTCTGCTAACTGCCTCATCCCCAGATGAATCTGGACACCAGAGCCCAAGGAGAGGACTGGCATGCCAGGCACCATAATTTGAACAGCCGTGCTTCCGTTTCCCCTCTAGTCTAGACCAGAGATTTGTGGCATGGTTGCTCCACACTCAAAGGTGAAAGACTCTCCCTCCCACTTCTTTTCTTGATATCTGGACTTTTTTTTTTTTTTTTTTTTTTTGAGGTGAAAGAAGCTTGAAGATCCCTGGTGAGGCCCTTTCTACTCTCTCTACTCTGCTTTTCTCTTTGTCGCTATATCACCCCCTAGTGGTTAACAGGAGTATGGCATCTCGAATGAAATGGCGCTTGGTGGGACGAATTGCTGTGGGAAACCCACCAGACGGGAATCTGGGACAGACTTCGAAGGTACCACGCACTTTGAAAAGGCAACCTCAGAGCTCCCGTCCTCCAGGTTCCCTCCTGGCTCGGGCACTGGGTGAGCCACCCTCTCCCCAGCGTGATTTGGTTCCACGGCATCCTCTACAAAGTGCCCATTCCCCATTTGCTATGGCTGTGCACAAGACTGAAGACATGGCGTGGCCACAGTTGAAGACGCTGAGCTCCCGGATCTGAGAAGTAGAGACTGTGGTCAGCCAGCTAAAGATTGAGCTGTTTCTGGACACACGAGACCCGGAAGCAGACCTAAGGCCGTAGTGGTTTGTGGGAGTCTCTGCTTCTCCTCGTACTGTTAGGTCAATTTCCAAATGGAACCTTCTGCTGGAACAATGCATCACATTCCCCTTCATCCTGTGGCAGGCCTTCCATGCCCCAGGGTGACCAGGGACCACCCAGCTTTGAAAGTAGGGCGCCAGCAATTAAGAAGGCTTGTGCCTGGGATGTTTAATTCTGGCCAGGTTTTTGGGTTTTTTTGTTTTTGTTTTTGGCACAGAAAGGAGACTAATTTTCTCAGTTTTTCAAGACAGGGTTTCTCTGTGTAACAGCCCTGGCTGTCCTGGAACTCTCTTTGTAGACCAGGCTGGCCTGGAGCTCAGAGATCTGCCTTTCAAAAGCTGGGTTGAGGCAGGGTTCTATGTGACCTAGGCTGACTTTGAACTCCATGATGATTCTGATCTTCCTGGTGCTCTTGAATCTACCTCCTGAATACTGGAACTACAGTGTCCTAGCATGCCTGCCTTACACCGTGCTGGGGCTCCAAGGCGGAGTCCATCGTGACAGGTGGGTTCAGACAGTAGTTGGAGACAGCTGGTCACAGAGTGTCTGCAGTCAGGAAGAAGCAGAGAACCCAATGAAGAAGCAGAGAACCCAATGAATGCTTCCTAGAAATTAAACCTTCCTAGAAATACTCTCGTAGACACACCCAGAGAAACGTTTCCATGGTGATTCTAAATCTATCAAGCTGACATGAATATTAACTATACTAACCAGAGTGACTCTTAGGTGCTCAGCACGTCTGCCACATGGGTAATTATTGTTATAGCCACGCACAGGCAGGAAACTGAAAACAAAAGCAGATGGGTTAATAATGTAAAGGCATAACAAGAGGCTCTGTTAGGATTTGAACCGGGAGTCAGTTCTTCCTTTTTGTTTTTGTTTTTTGAGACAGGATTTCTTTGTGTAGCTCTGGCTGTCCTGGACCTCACTCTGTAGACAAGGCCGGCTTCAAACCAACCAAGAGATCTGCCTGCCTCTGTCTCCCCAGGGCTGGAATTAAGGGCATGGATCACCACAGAAGCAGCTCTTTCCACTGTAGTCTTTTCTTTCTTTTTTATAATTTTTGAGTAAAATGTTCCAAAATCTTGCTGGGTCAAAGGAGGGTATAAATAATACATATATGATTTTACTGATAATAAAACTTTTATATTATAAAAGTTCACATTTATAAACAGCATGTGGTGGTATACACCTATAAGGCCAGCAATAAAGGAGGTAGAAACAGGAGGTTCAGAAGTTCAAAGTTATCCTTGGCCTTTATAGCAACTTTGAGGCCAGTATGAAACACAGGAGATTCGAAAACAAAAGTTGAAAATTGCCACAGCAAGCCAGAAGGTATTTTTTTTTTCCTCTCCAGACAGAGTCTACATAGTCCTGACTGTCCTGGAGCTCATTCTGTAGACCAGGTGGGCCTTGAACCAGGAGATCTGCCTGCCTCTGCCTCCCAAGTGCTGGTGCTAAAAGTGTGTATCACCACTACCTGGTGGTACCTGCCTTTAATCCCAGAATTCAGGAAGCAAAGGCAGGAGGATTTCTATGAGTGTTGATGCCACCCTGGTCTACAGAGCAAGCTCTAGAAGAGCCAAAGGCACACAGACCTTTTCTCAAAATAGAAAAGAGAAAAAGAGAGAGAAAGAAAAATTACTTTTGATTCATTTATTTGCATAGTATGTTTTGAGGGCCTTTTAGGTGGACTTGGCAATAGAATGGCATGCCCCAGCCTTGAACTTCAAAGAGTCCCCAGCGAGGGAGCCTCTTTGTGATGTCCATGGATTGCCACTGAAGCACAAAGCCAGGAAATGCTGGACATCAGTTTCACCGAAAAAAGCCAGACAGCTGAGTTTTGAAGGATGTTTAAAAGTCTGCTCAAGGGAGTTAAAGTGGAAAACATTCTTCCAGGCCGAGAGAAGCCACGGAAAGGCAAGGGCATGAAAGTTTACATGGAACGCAAGGAACAAAGGGATTTAATGTAGTCAGACAGTAGTGAGGTCAGGAGGAGGGAAAACAGAAAAGAACTGAAGGCCGTTTCTCAGGAGTACTGTGTTCGGGGCCAAGGGCTTGGTCTTCATCCCGTAGAGCACCGGGAAGGCTGTTAAACAGGCAGGCAGGTATCTGCTACCTACAGATGATTTCTGGACCGCTGTAATAAACCCAAGTGAACGGGAATGGTTAAAGCAGAAAGGACGGTCTACCGAGGCCAGATACAAACGGGAAAGAACAGGGGGGCGCCTGCCGGGCTTTGGCACCAGGTCCTGCTGGAGCCAGAGCCAGGATGCCTGTGCAGGGTCACGAGAAGGTGGTGGAGAGCAAAGATGACCAGTACCTTGGTCGGTCTACCCATGCTAAAGTGTCTACCGAGTGCTTACGGTATTCTAGTCCCGCTACTAGAGGAAAGCTTTTTTTTTTAAATTTTTTTTTTAATTTAATTCCTACCGCAAAGCGGTAACAAAGCTTTAGGCTATTTATAGGAAAGGGCTGATGGTATTCGCCACGTTTAACATAGGAAATCCGCTGAGAACACCTAGAGATGCAGAAGCTTGATGGACAGACAGCACGTGTCCAGTAAATCAGGACTCAAACCCAGGTCTGTCGGCAGAATTAACGCTGAATTCGGATTTTCGCCTACCGCCCACCAGTTGGGCGTTCTGAGATGCATTCCTTAATCACTGAGTCTGTTTTCTTACCCATAAAATAGAGATGAGTGGTGGTGCACACCTTTAATCCCAGCACTCGGGAGGCAGAGGCCAGACTGGTCTACAAGAGCTAGTTCCAGGACAGCTACAGGAAGAAATATTGTGTCAAGAAAACAAAACAAAACAAAAAACAAACAAACAAACAAAAAACCAAAGAACCTTGATAGTTGGTTGCTATTCAATGGTTAAACTAACAGAGCAGGTAAGGAGAGGCTTCCTGGCATGAGCCAGGTTCATCTTTCCCCTTCTGACAGTTTCTGTCTCTTTGCCCATGAAGCAGGCTGCATGGTGCATACTCCTTGAAAACAGGACCCCCCTTTCTTCTGTCTTCAATGGGCTCTGCCACCTTGGCACCTGGCGTGTGCATACACTGATACATAGCCTTTTGGATTAGGTGATGGGTTTCTGAATTGTGAGTGCCCAAAACTGTGTGTCTGGCCCACCTGCCTCTACGGTGGAGAAGAGGCAGGCCGTCTAAACTCCATGTTTGCCTCAGGGCTTTAGGATGCTCTCAGGCATGTGTGGCACCATCTGCCCTTTCGCCTGGCTGGGCGCTCTCCCAGGACCTGGTTGCCCCTCTTGCAGGCACTCTATAAAACATGTCTGGCCCTGGATCCAGACAGGCTCGTAACACTAATGTTGCTTTTCCATTTTCCTGGAAACTTCTATAGCTGTAGCCTGGAAAGCATCCAAAAGTTTCCCCGAACTAAAGATAACAACAGCAACAATAAGTTTTTAAACATTCAGAGAGGCGAAGGAAGAGAGACCCTAAGGCAAACGTCCCCGTTGATTACTGCTCAGCCGAACAGATTCCGAAGGCGGGGACAGAAAACGGAGGATGTTTCCGGGTCAATTTAAACATTCACATGGCTTTTTTTTTTTTTTTTTAGACAGTTTCAAAACAGTCGACCTCCCTGGGGGCAATTAAAAAAAAAATCTACCCAGAAGGCAAAAGCTTTCCCTATCCCTCCCTCATCTGGAAAGTTTTCTGAGCAGAGGCCTGAGCACATTCCTGAGTTCTGGCTCAGGGAAGGACTTTCCCAACCTTCCAACATTCCGAGCCCTCGCTCACCCTGCTGACCTACCAAGGGTTCTGCTCGCTCCACCCCCAGCAGCTGCATTCCAGCTGTGGCCTTACGAAACTGCCAGGAATCCTAGGGCTGCGAGGTAAGTGAGGAACGCGCCTCCTGACAGCTGAGGGCCCGGCGGAAGTCTAGAAACCCGGAAGCCCTGGAGCTGACGCTGGCTAGCCTCTGCCGCCCACAGGCAGGGTGGGCTGTTGACTTAGGGAGAACAGCATTCTAGGAGGTCTGGCGGAGATTATAGGCTGGTGGCCTGTCTGAATCCTCCCTCCCCCCCACAACCCTCCACCTCGTTCCTAGACCACCTGGCAATGTTAAAAGTGAAATCTTCTTCTTCAAGAAGAAGATTCAAAAATATTTCCATTTATTCATGAACTCTAGGGTTTTTTGTTTGTTGCTTTTTAAGATATATTAATTGTGTGTGTGTGTATGTGTGTGTGTGTGTGTGTGTGTGTGTGTGTGTGAGTGCACGTGCTGCCAACAGAGGCCAGAGGAGGAAGGCACTCCTTAGACAGCTGTGGCCCATTTGATGTGGGTACTAGACCTGAACTCAGGTCTGCTGGGACTGCTGAACCATCTCTCCAGCCCAAGCTCTGGGCTTGCATTTATTTATTTATTTATTTATTTTTATTTATTTATTATGTATACAACATTCTGCCTCCATGTATGCCCGCATGCCTGAAGAGGGCACCAGACCTCATTACAGATGGTTGTGAGCCACCATGTGGTTGCTGGGAATTGAACTCAGGACCTTTGGAAGAACAGGCAATGCTCTTAACTGCTGAACCATCTCTCCAGCCCAAGCTCTGGGCTTTTTAATTAAGAAGCACAACATTGAGGCTGGAGAGATGGCTCAGCCGTTAAAAGCAACACAAACTGTTCTTCCAGGGGACCTGCGTTCAATTCCCAGCACCCACATGGCAGCTCACAACTGTCTGTAACTCCAGTTCCAGGGCATCTGACACTTTCACACAGATATATGTGCAAGCAAAACACCAATGCACATAAAATAAATAAATTTTAAAAATAAATAAAGATATTATTACTACTATTATCATTTTTTTTTAAAAAAGCACAATGTCTTGCACGAAGCAAGTCTTCTGGGGAATGTAACTCCATGGTAGCCTCTCCCAGTATGCTTGAAGCCTTGGGTTCAATCCTCAACACAACAGAATGCAAACAAAAATGCTAGTCTGTGCAACAACACAGTAAACAGAACTTGGGAATTTGCCCCCTTTGGGACTCCGTGAGGCAAATTTGGAATTCAAAGTCTCAAAGGCTGAGACAGGAACCTGATCTACAGAGGAAAACCCTGTCTCAAAACCAGCAGGATGGTAGGAGTGGTCTTGCTGTGTGTTAGAATCTGTAGGAAGTGCAAGGTTAATTAAAAGGGAGACTCGGATGAATGATGCAGCTTCCTTGACCAGGTGGGGTTTTGCAGCTGTTTTGGGGTCACTCACACTCATGAAAGTATCTTTTACCCATGTCCTCTAAGTAAGCCCAATAAATTCATTGCTACACACACACACACACACACACACACACATACACACACACACATAAACACACATACACACACATACACATACATACACACACATACACACACACACACACACACACACACACCCTTAATTTGCCAACGGCTCTGGAGGATTACTCCTAGGAGGTCACAATGACTTTGCCAGAGGCAGAAAAGTGAGTGTCTCCTTGTAAATGCTCTGCCCACCCAAAACTGGTGTCCCTGCCTGTGGTTCAGGGTTCAGGTGAGGAAGGAGGCCTGGAGGCTCTCTGGAGTCCTTTACATATGTGGATGTTGGCCAGACAGGGCAGAGCTGAGCAAATGGCCTTTTAGGCAGCTGAAGCCCTCAGCTGCTGTCAGCACAACTGTCACCAAGTTCCCCTGGTTGGGGTGGCAGGGCAGGGGATGCTGGAGCCCTGATATTATCATCTGGGGTTGCAGAGTCGGGTTAATGGAAGTTACTTCTCTACTTGGCTTTAGAATAGTGGCAGTGGCTGGCTGGCTCCATGCTGGCTGATTAGTCTGAATTTCTGAGAGTCTGTGCCTTCTCCCTGGGACTGACGGTCACCCAGACACACAGCAACAGTTGATAGCCGTGGGAATGCTTTGGGAGTCCATCCTCGTTTACAGCCATACTACCCTGAATGTGTTCATCTTAGCTAAGCAAGGTTGGGCCTGGTCAGGACAAGGATGAGAGAAACTCCATTCTCCAAAGTGAGGAGCCTCCTGCAGTCTTCCATCAATTCCGGGGCATGAACGTGAGTCTGAAGAAGAGGTGGCCTCTGTCCCAGGAGATAATCAGGTCAAACAGTGATATCGTGACCTGTGTCTTCTTACTCCTCCTGCTGTCGTTCCCATTTCCAAATATGCCCCCCTTAGCTCTCCTTGTTCCCGACTCCACTGGTCTGATCAGCCACTTCCTCTACCGGTTCCTTCAGAGTACAGTCTACAGGGTTACCATGGAAGCTATACTTGCCCCCACCCCTGACAGTAACCCCTGAGCCCTTGAGACCCTAAGAGGAAAGCACCAGGAAATGGTAAAACATTCTCCCTCCAGAAAACAATGGCTTCCGGGGCCTGTGCCAGACACACTCACAACCCCCGAAATAGTCTCATTGTTCTCTTGTGCAATATCCAGGAATTTGGTGAAACTCATCATTTTTCAGTTACCGATAATGCAAGTTTGGAAAGTGAAACAGGAAGAACACAGGCTGAGAAAGCTTTTATCCAGCCACAGAGTCTCCCAGATGCAAGATACGTTGTTTTTTTTTTCCTCTCTCTCTCTCTCTCTCTCTCTTTCTCTCTCTCTCTCTCTCTCTCTCTCCAGCAGTCCTTTGGTGGGGTTAAAATTAGCTGGCAGCATTCTGGTCACATGGCAGACAACAAAACAAAAGGGAATTGTTTCCTCAGACGCTCCTGAACTAGTCCCACAGACCTCCTAATCCATGGATTTCTGGGATCTGGCTCCCCACCACCACCCCGGCATAGGAGAGGCCACACCACAGGCTACCCTCAGGGATTTCTCTTGCGGTAACAGAGGAGACAGTACCAAGGCATTTTGGAATCCTGGTGCTTGCCTTCTCTGGGAAGGCACCCTGGGACTCCAGATTGCCGTTTACAATTAATTCTTCTCCCAGAAGTCAGCAAATAAGCAAACATCACGAGGACTTGGGAAGGACAACACAACACTGAAGGGTGACCATGGTACCCTTTGCCTTTTGGGACAAGTGGCTGTGGCTGTCAGGATGATAAGGTGAAATGAACACGCCCAAGCTATAAGTGACAAGGACTTCAGACAGATTCTTTATCTCTGGACCCTGATGACAGGACGTGTCAGGATCTGCCTCCCTCCCATTTAAAACTATCACCAGCAGCTACAAGTTAAAAATACAGCCTCTGATTCACGCATGGTCAGGAAACCTGGCTGTGCTCAGTACAGAAACACGTCTATCAACCTGGGAAAGGAATCACCGCCACGAATATGCTCTTAGCTTGCCAAAGCTTAGCAGCGGCAGGAGCCAAAAACCCAGCTGCCTGGACCGTCTGGGGAAAGGGGGTTCTGAATCACCTGATTTCTTCCTCAGCTCCGGCGTGATTCTAAGCCAGAACCATCTCGAGATGTCTCAAGGGCAGACTGCTCTTTAAAATTATGTTTGAACACTAACCCTTCAATTCTGAATCTGCTAGCAAGGTGAAGCAGATGGCTTTTATTGATTATTTATTTGGAAGGCGGTATTCAGGAATCAGAAAATTCCACTGAGATCAAACACATGACCCTGACCAAAAAAGAAAAAAAAAAGGAAAAAAAAAACACAAGGCAAAGGCAATCATGAACAGACACCCAGAGGGTCAAGTTCAAGGCACTGCAGGTTAAGTTCCACCAAATGGGACAGGTCTAGTCTTTTGCCTGTGTGGGCTTCCATGACAGTGTACACAGTAGGAAGAAATACCAAGATTGGCCCCACATTCTGTGGCAGTCTTCCCATGCTTCAAAACAAAAACATCTTCGACTCTTACCTCTACTTGAAACCTCATTAGACAGACAGACCAAAGTACGACCCGCCCCTGTGCCTGGATGCCCAGTATGTAAAGTCCTCTTTAATGAATGTACACCACCCGCCCCGCCCCCAGGAATAGTCTCAAGGTGTTACAAGTACATAAAGGTCTGAAAGCTGAAGTCCTGGATAAACAGCTTCCTGGATATATTTAGCAGAAAATATTGAAAACCACAGAGAAAAATATGTCCCCTTTCTGGGATGTTAATGAAAGTTTATGTCTAGGAAGCCTTCAGGAAATAGTGAACAAAAAGAAATACTGCTAATCTCTTCCACCCCAGCGTAAATAAATCACTAACTCTCCTTGGTTTCCATAGGCCTTGGCCGGGGGATTTAATTTTTTCCCTATTAAATAGGCCACCCGGAGAGTTGGCATTACAGACCTGAAAATATACCAGATCTTGAACACACTGTTTTGTTTCTGTACATTGAATCAGGCTGTGTTTCAAATGGCAGCTTGTGCAAGATTGGGGGGGCGGTGATTATCCGGGCTAGTGCACCCTCACAAGAAGTCACCTGAAATGGCAGCATAGATGACAGATCTGTTTCACCTTGACTCACCCAATGTCTTGTCTCTGACAGGAACCTGTCCTCTATCTTTGTTGCCCAAACTGATGTCATGTTCTAAGGGACTGACTGGATTTGCTAAACTGCTACAAGATGCCTTCAAGCCCCCCCCCCTCCACTGTCTGCAGTGTGGGGCGGGACCTGAGAATCAAGGCAAGGACAGGCAACTACTCTCCCTAAGATGGAGGCTGCATGATGTAAGTGGCTGGCTAAAATATCTGGCACGCTTGCAGTTTTAAGTTGCCAGCTAAATATTATTAAAAAGATAGAATACACGCAAACTGTGCAGAATGTAGGGCTGCTGTGTTTACATCCGGGTTTTGATGACTCAAAGCCTTACACTTGGGCTTGCTGAAAAGCTCTATTAAAAACACAGCTTTCGAAAAGCCTCCAGGGAGCAGAAGGACTCGGGGGTGGGAGAGGGATGATAACACCCCCCTACCCCAAAGATGCTGTTCAGCTCTGTTTCTGGCAAGCATTTAGGACCGGGGAAGTCTTAAAGGGTTAACCTCCTTTCAGTTTGTAAGCCAGAGCCGGGAGGGTTAACCT